GCTATTAAAACCCGATAAAACTCAGGATGTTACACAAAGCCTATTCCCTCCTCATAGTTTACATATTTTAAAAAGTATCTACGAGTAGGAGAGTGCCTAAAATTGAGGGGGAATGATAGTGTAGTTAAGTAAATCATTATTATGTAACTAATATTATTGTATCTTAACAGATTTAGTTAGAATGCTTAGCTGGCTTAGTTGAGGCATGTGACCTTCGTACTTATATATGTAAACTCTCAGTACAGTGCAATAGACATCAAATCATTCACCTACTTTTCGTCTTATTCACTCTCTCTCCCCACTTTTCCTTTAGGGCAAAAGCTAAAGTTGAAAAAGTGTAGAAAGAGATTCATGTGATGCTTAATTCTATCATCAATGACCACTTAGAAAAGAAAGGTAAAGATATGGCAGAAGCAGAGGAGGATCTCATTGATCTTCTTCTCAGGGTTCAAAAGGAGAATGATCTTGAAATCCCCTTAACTCTCGACAACATCAAAGCTCTCATTTTGGTAAGCCCCTTAGTTTTAATAACATACACATGATTTGTCATATGTTTAATGACTTGCCTTTTCGTAGATAGGGACATCAAAGCAGATAACATGCGCACTAGGCATTTTACTTATTCATGCATCGATCCATTTTTGAGATATGTTTACTTGTTTTTTTTCATACATAGGGACATCAAGGTAGATAACATATATATATGAAGATTTTAATTAATCGTGGCACCCCAATATACTTTCAGGACATGTTTGTTGGTGGAACTGAAACAATAGTAACAACAATGGTGTGGGCAATTGCAGAAATGATTAAAAACCTAGAAGTAATGAAGAAGGCACACGAAGAAGTGAGAAGGGTATATGCATGCAGTGGAAAAAGTGGCTCTTGGGATGGCAAAGTGAAGGAGATAAGTGGGAAGGAGATGTTGAGCTATTAGTGAACATGATCAACATAAATGCAGGACACCAACTTCCTCATCACTTACCAATCAATCCTCAGTATGAGAGAATTGTTCAACTTTCTAATCAAATCTGCCACCAATTACGTTCTCTCCAAAGCACCCAGGTGATTACTTGTTAATTACCAACTTCATTAACTAATGATGAGATTATTTAATCTTCTAGTCCCTTATATGTCTGGTTTGAAATTCATATATCAGGAAAACAACAGTAATGGAAGCTGCAAAGGCAAGCCAGAAATAAGGGAGAAAATGCAAGAGCTGGTGCAATTGGTGCTGTCTTCTAATGTCATGGATCTCAACATGAAGAAGACATTCCTCACTGTCACTAAAACCTTTTATTATGCAGCTCACACTCATCCACAAACTGTTAGCTCTCACATTGAAAAAGTCCTCTTTCAGAGAGTCATGTAATACACACAGTCACATGTGAGTGATGTGGGGTGGTCCCACTCCTACTTTGCATCACAAAGTTCAATCCTTAAAGTAAGAGCTACTTAACTAATTTGGATAGATTACAGAAGTTAGTTAAGTTAGTTATTTGTAATAAATATAAATTGATTTTCTTAAAGTATCGTTTTAATCATGATTACTCTTGGATGGAAATCCCTTGGTATGTACAATCAATCAGGATATTTTAGAAAATAAATTATAAATTTGGGAGAAAAAATGGATTGAGATTATATATTTGGTACCAAATCTAATCCCTAATGCTGGATCGGAGGTAGTAGCTAATTATATGAAGTCTTGTTACCGTGTATTCTTCAGGTAAAAAGAAAAAAAAAACCGTGTATTCAATTTAAAGAACAATTGTATTGCATAAATTTCAACTATCAATGATTAAATAGACTCTCCCTTCTGTGTCTGTTATTTTTCACATCGGTTCATCTAGTGCTACAGCGCAATTATATTTAGCTCTTAATTGAAAAATGGGTTGATGCTTATCATCACCCTCTCCTTGTTTGTGTGTGTGGAACGTTGGTTTTTTGAGGCTCATTTAGGGTGTGTTTGGATGAAACCAAACCGTGGTTTGGAAAAGTGATTCTGGAGAATAGATTCTGGAAAAAATAGATTCTGTGAAGAATAGATTTTGTAAAAAAGTGATTCTGAGAAGTGAGAGTGTTTGGATAGTTGTTATCAGAAGCACTTTTTATATATACAAATTACTAAAAAAAGACATAAGTTAATATGATAATTACAGAAAAAATAGATTTTATGATATATTTTAATTTGAAGAAATAAAATTGTTAATAATATGTTTTTTACCAACATAATTAATAATACATAAGATAATATAATTAATAAATAATTAATGTCTATATATATTTATAAAATATAAGATTAAATATATTTATAAAAAAATATGTTTATAAAAAAATAACAAGATACATATCATATAGGCCCACACACTCTCTCTTTTTTCTCCAAAAGCAAAAAAATTTTACTTTTTCCAAAACCATGGTTTTGGAGTCAAAACCATGGTTTTGACCCAAAACCATGGTTTTGGTTTTTGGAGAGGCTGTTTGGGTAGCATTTTCCCCAAACGTTACTGGTGTTATACAGCCACTCTTATTTAATAGGCCCAAAAGGAATTATCATGGGCCGAACAATAAGGAGGGCATGACCAGGGTGTGGACCCCAGAGAGGCCGATATTAAAAAACACAATGTAATGTTTTTTTTCCTTTATAATAAAAGTCAATTTTATTTAGGAAAAAAAATTAAAACGATACATATTAAACTACTAATTAAGTTTGTATGAAATTTAAGGGGCCAAAGATGTTTGTATAAAACTTAAGGAGCCATTATTTTTCTTTGGGGAATTTCCAATCAAATGAGAGAGAATTGAAAATTCCTGAGTGATCTATGAATCTAAAATAATAGGATTGTTGAGAACTATATCTCTGATGTTGAGTATCTTATTTGGCATCTCCTTCGCATGAATCACATATCTTTCTTATAAATTAAGTAAAGTGACCTGCTTATTTTTCAATACACATCTCTTAATTTTCTTGCCATTTTGCTTCCTTTTTCCTTTCTTATAAATTAAGTAAAGACTCACAACCTCAAAGAGGTAGTTGTATTCATCACTTTCAATGAAAGGTAGTGGAAGCTTAGGTCCAATAAGATACATTCAGGGATCATAATTGGTCCCAAGGCAATTGATATAGTTCCATTACGCGCATATCCTTCTATACTTGGCTCACACTTTTTTCTGCACCATTCTGCCTCTTTTAATTCAGATCGTAGTAAATCCACCGTCTGAAAACAACAAATAAATGTATGTCAACAGTTGATCAAGATGTATATTAATAAACATGTAAATATGTTTACATAATGAAGTTTATTAGTGTGATGATGAAATTAATGAGGAAAACAAGGACGAGATAATTATGGTCTTACAATCTGAATCAAGGGGTTCAATCTCATAAATTCTTTTCTTTAGTGCTGAGAATATTATCTGATTCATCGTCTCAGAACAACTTTCTTTGTCGACATCTACATCCCGCCTGAAATTCAATGCTCCAAACGCATAATCTTTCTGTGTAATCTATCGCTGCCCCTTCATTTTGAGTCTCTTTTCAAATGTTTTTTGGTATTTCTTTTTAGAATAAGTGACATTTTGATATCTTATTTTAATAGGCTGAAGTATACATGGGTCCTTTAACTTTGTATAAGGTTTCAATTTGGTCCCTTAACTTTAAAAAGCATATATTTGGTCATTTAACTCTAAAATCATTAGGCTTCAATGATGATTTTTTGTAACAATCATGAATTTTTTAAAAATTAAACTTAATATGTTAGTATTTGAGAATGTTTTATCAACATCTAAGATTTTGATGTCATCATTTTTTTAAAAGATTTTAGGGTTAAATGATTGAAAATATATTTTTTAAAGTTAAGGGACCAAACTGAAACATTATACAAAGTTAAAGGACCAAATATATACTTTAACCTATTTTAATATGTATCTTTTCAAATGCAAAGATGTGCTATACATTATTACTTTTGCAAGAAACTACGCGATTTACGATTTCAGTTATCGGTTTTCATGTTGGGGGCAATATCGTGCAATACGGGCGTGTTTATTTTCTTGTTTTCAAAATAATTTTTTATTTTTAAAAAACAAAAAAAATGTTTGGTTGTTAATTTTTGATTAAGTTTTTTGTAAAAAAAATTAGTTGTCTATTTTTTCCAAAAAAAAAAAAGTCGCGGCCACGCTTTTCATTCTGTCTCTTGCACCTATTTATGTCATTTCCAAATACTTCAATCCAACCCTCCGTCTGTCATTTATTGCATTCTCCAGTTTCTACTTTGTCTCTCACTTTCTATTAGTTTTTCAAGTTGATTTCAAAATAATTGTTCCAAATAAGTTTTTATGTTTTTTTCTCAAATGCAATTTTTTAGAAAAATTATCCAAATTTTTTTGTTTTCCTTTTTTTTTTCAAATTTTTTTTTAGAAATCAATTTTAAAAAACTAATTCTAAAAACATAAACTAAAAAAGCAGAAACAAGCCAGGTTTACATTTTCAGATACAATCTCAAATTACACCGAAGTTGTTTTGTAAACAACTTATATGGATCCTGCCTGGGTAACACTTCACTGAAAATTGGAGGTGGCCTTGTGGGATTTCTCTTAGTTTTTATCATTATACGCACAGTGAATCATTTAGATGATCAATATAAAAAAGATAGCATAACAGAAAAATATCATTAAAAAAGAACAACCAACCCCGAGCTAAATTCTTGTGATCTCGTTTATAATTGATTTATGAATCATCATTTGATTATAGGGTTATTTAATTTCAATTAGCAGCTATATATGTAAAAAACTGTATTTGTATACCAATTCATCAGAAAACAAATACAATAGATACATTAAATAAAACATTACACAAACAGACATGTTTTAGGTTAGCGAGGCACACACATATTCTTTTATTACAGAAAACATTTGCAAAAACATAAAGCACTACTTTATTCTGAAAATTAAACATCCCTTATTATTTTCCAAGTGGTATTACTATAACACTATATATATAACTAAGGGTGATAGACGACTGTGGGAACCACACATAGATGGTTTTTTCTCGAGGCAGCGTTACCAGAGGTTTCCTCCATGTCCAAATCCTCATGCTTCCCCCCATCAGGAAGCTTCCAATCAAAATGGTAAAGCAATTTGGCGATAGCCAAATCGACAACAGCATAACCAAATGAAGATCCAGGACATATCCTTCTTCCTGACCCGAATGAGATATACTGATAGTTCGTACCCTTAAAATTGTAGTCCGTTGAGGGATCAAGGAATCTTTGGGATTGAAACTTTTCCGCTTCGTTCCAATACTTGCGATCTCTTCCGAGTGCCCAAGCATTGACAATAATCCTAGAGTTGGAAGGGATCTTATAACCGTTGATTTACCATGTTTCAAAATTTTCCCTTGGAACCAGTAATGGAAGAGGTGGGTGAAGCCTCAAGATTTCTTTGATCACAGCATCTATGTATTTCAACTTGGGCAATTCTGATTCTTCTACGTATCCTTTGTTTCCAAAGACCTTCCTCACTTCTGCTTGGGCCTCTGTCATTGTCTCTGGATTCGTCAGCAATTCAGCCATTGCCCACTCTAAAATTGTTGCTGTTGTTTCAGTTGCCCCAAAGAACATGTCCTGAGAATAGCTTATTTCTTTGAGTCAAACTCCAATATTTATAAAGTAAAACACTTGTATATTTATAACTTCTAAATGATCAAGTATTTGTTTATATCTATGAAGTATTCAAAGAGAGAGAATAAGACTTACTTGAATGATAGATTTGATGGTGTCGTCACAAATATGGATGTCAAGGTCATTTTCCTTTTGGACCCTGAGAAGAACATCGACAAGATCTTTCTGGTGTGCTTCATCATCACCATCGTGGCTTCTCTTGTCATTCCTTTCTCTATGTTCTGCAATGACTTCTTGCAAAATCCCATCACCCAGTTCCTGCAGTTTCTCAAGCTTACGCTTCAAACCAGTGATGACAGGAAGGAATTTGAGTGAAGGAAAAAGATCTTCAACTCCAAGTCCAGTAGACAGCTCCATCGTTTTCTGCATATAAATCACAACGTCGTCCACATTCTTGCACTTACCAATGGCCGCACGAGCAACAATGGAATTTGCCAGAGGGAAAAGTTGTTTATGAAGATTAATAACAGAACCTTCATGTTCAGTTATATACTTCATGAGATATCCTATTTGTTCTTCCCTTATATTTCTGAATGATTGGACTCTCTTTACAGACAAAAGCTCCAAGGTACAAATCTTTCGAAGTTGCCTCCAACGATGTCCATATGGAGCAAAGCCAATATCAAGACCACCGTAGCCAACAATTTTGCCTACTAAATAAATGGGTCTGCTGGCAAAGATTTAATCGTGTGTTTTCATAATTTCTTTGGCCATTTCTGAGGAAGAAATTATGATGTTGGAGGTTTGTCCAAGTTGAAGGTGGATCAAGGGGCCATATTTGTTTGCAAGGTCTCTCATAATGTGATGGGGAAGTAATGGCCCTACCATTTGGTGTAAGTTTCCTATAATGGGAAGCTTCCATGGCCCTGGGAGTAAGGTTTTGTTCGATTTCTTGAATATTGAAGGCTTTATTAGAACCAGAAAGAGCAAAGGGACGAAGGTGAAGAGGAGGGAATTAGGAATTTGAATCTCCATAATGACGATGGAAAATAATGCTGAAGTGAGGGGTTGGTCGTTTTAGAAGCGAAAGTGCTGCTTTTATACTAGACTGATGGCCCTTTTTTCCTTTATTAATAGTAAAATTTGATTAATATAATACTAAGGCATGTGTTTCAACAACAATATATATCCTCCGGTTTTTAATATAGAACCTAATTAGAAGGTTGATCTTAATCCTAAATATAGGACATATTTCTTATATTTACCAATTTTTTTCTAAATTACCCTTATTAAATAATTAAATACCACAATAATACTTATTACTCATTGATAATATACCTATATATTTTTTAAAGTGAGTGAGTACTTATTACTCATTAACTTTACACATACATCAATTCTACCGTTTGATATTTTTAATAAAATTATTTAAACTTTTTTTGAAATGTCAATTTTTTAAAGAAATTTTAACTGAGGGTATTTTGAAAAACATATGCCATATTTATAATTATTACCTAACTTAACTAACTTTTTTAATTTAATCAAAGTAGTTAAATAGGTCCTATATCAAAGACCGGAAGAGTGTGTGTGTGGAAACACACTAAGGCTAGTTTTCAATAGTTTATTTTGGTTAACATAATATATAATCAGTCACTTGTTAAAAACGTTACCTAAAATTGCATATCAAATTTATATTTGTTTTATTCATGTTTTTTTAAATTTTTTTCTCATGTATTTTTTTTCTTCCTTTTATTTTTAAGGAAAATTGATATAATCTAAGAATGCTGCAAGAATATGAATATTATAATATGTGGATGTCCATATCCTCTTCTTCCTTTTCCTCTTCCTCTCAACTTCATCATCAACTCCCACTACTTCCACTAGGCATTAATCTTCCACTACTCCATTACCCTTCCACTATGCCTTTAATCTTGTAACTCCCCCCACTTATATTCATATGGTTTATTGTCCACTATCTATCATTTAAGTACAAATGTAACTTATGTGTGAGACTATGCCTATAAATAAGGCATGTCATTGTATTGTGAAGCAAGTAAAGGAATACAATATCATTCTCTCATTTTCTTGTCTACTTCTCTTCTCCAATCTACTTTCATTATTGATTAATTTCATAACATAATACAGTGAAAATGTATCATTTAAAAGGAGGAGACTATCATCATCATCATGATTATTATTTACCCTGATTTAGATATCTTAAAAATCATACTATTATTTTATGTATGAAATTAAAATATTGAAATTTAATAAATGATCTAATTAATTGTAAAAGTTTTGATGAAGAGGAAAGAAAATTTTTTATAATATATGTGAATTTCTTTTCCTTGGCCGCATGTGCTTAATATGCGCTCCCCCTAATTCTAAATATAAAACTATGTTAACTAATTCATAGAAAAAAAATAGTTAAGATAATTTATTATTTGTAATTAATATGTAAATAATTTTTTTTTCAAAACTACTGCTGTTATTTAATGATTAAATTCAATATTTGGAAACAAAAATGTCCCCATAAATAGGAGCATTACATAAGAAATAAATAAACACTTATAGGAAACGAGAGGAAATAATACTTATTAGTATATTTAAAAACAAACCAAAACTCTCATATGGGCTTTATACTTGAAACAATAGCAAGTATATAAATATGACATGTGATATTTCCAGCTAATTTGATGAAGTTGTAGGAATATGACATAATTGCGAAAGAAGATATGCGTTCAAAATAAATTAGTGTATGTCTTCGTCCATCTTCACGTGGTCTTACTAATTTTGCCATGTAATCTTATTTTTCATTAGAGGAATTGGACCGATTTCTCTAACGTAGGTTAGGTGGACCAGGACTTTTCAGCTTTGAATAAATTCACTAGCATTGACAGAGAGAGAAATTGGTAATAGAAAAATATGATTAAAATATAGAAAGTAATACTCCTTCAGTCCTTAACTTATGTCACAATTTGAAAGTTAATACTACATGTTTATCAATTTTTCCCAAATTAATCCTATTCATATTTTCTCAATAATAATCAAGTAGGAGAGGAAGTGAAGGAATTAAGAAAAAATAATTAGGGTGTTTCAAAAAAAATATTATATTAACTAATTTAACTAACATTCTTAATATACTTAAATTAGTTAATTAGGTTTTATATTAAGAATTGAAAGAATATATAACCCAAACTAAAATTTCATGATTTGTATTTTTAACGAGGACCTAAAAAAACTTATTTGCGGTATATATATTTTGCATAGAATCAATGAATGATAATATTTGCCAACTCGAATTGATTGTATTGGGCATACCCAAATCACAATACATGCAAGGGCCTCCAATATTAATCTACGTAATCAATTGTATTATTAATATTTCATTTGCACTAGTATTTTGTTTGAATGTTCAAAATTAGCGATTAACTTGAATTCAAATGCACTAGTATTATTAGTGTACCCAACAACAAGCTGTGCGACTAATTTAATTTGAGGAAGTTAATTTTAGGATGACATTTGATTGATTATGCCTTATAAGAGTACCTATAATCACACTGAAATACTACGAATTGTATAATAATTTCAAAGCATGAACAAAGTCTTTGGTGGAAAATTTACTTGCGTGAAAAGTAGAAAAAATGATTTAGAAAAGAGATGTTGTTGCTGAAGTTTAATTAAGATATTAGAATGGTATAGATATTCTTTTTGGGATAGACATTATTGAGTTAAGGGGGTTGCTTTGTTTGACTTGCATGATGAGTTGGGTTTCAATTTGCCAAAAGAAAATATTCTTTCAAAAATAAAACACCCGGGCATCATGGTGGAATATGGAATAAGATATAATAAAAATTATTTTATATAGTTAGAATGATTTAAATAAGAATATTTAAAACATTCTTCAGATTAATTAGGATTTAATTGGGGGGTTTATTATAATTGCATCTTTTTCAGGATTATTTTGGATTTTCTTTATTCTCAATAAAAATATAGAATATATATAGGTCATCTAAAGATTATCTGATTAGTTTTTTTAAGATTTCTCATTATAGTGAAACTTAATTTATTAATAAAATAGCCCCCTCTTTCTCTCTCCTTCTCCTCCTATCTCTATGACTCTTTCTTTATTTTCCCATTTATATGATTTATATCTAGCTTTTGGTTCAGGGATATACTGCTCGATTCTTAATATAGTGTTTTTCGTTCACAGATATACCACTTGGATTCTTATAGTGTGTGTGTGTATAGTGACTTGTAGGATACTTAATTATCATATTCTAGTTTTATTTTTATTTAATTCTCATTAAAAGCAAAAAAGAAAGAGAAGAGAGGTGGAAATAATTTATAAATACAGAAAAAGAACTTTTGATAAGGGTAACTTTAAAAAATTTCATGAATTTACTATACTACCTCTGGTTTTAAATATAAGGGCTAGTTAACTAATTTAACTAGATTAAGAAAATAAGTTAAGTTAGTTATTTATAATAAATATGCTTGTTTTTCCTAAAATATTTTTGCTAATCATATGTGTTGGCTAAAACTACCATTATTAGAAAGATTACCGTGAGAAAAAAAATGCATAAATATGAGAAACAGAATAGATTAGGATCTTATATTTAGAATCAAAATAAAAATCAAATAAGATATTATATTAAGGACCGGAGGTAGTATTTCTTAATATGTGAGGATGAATTATAAGTGACCGTGCGTGTACGTTTGTGTGTGTGTGTGTGTGTGTGTGTGTGTGTGTGTGATTGATTTGTACGCTTTGTAAATGATTCAATATTTCCGGCCATCAATGCGATAGAAGTTTCAATTTACCAGGCGGCTGTAATCTGAAAAAGATAATTTCATATTTTTGTTGGCAAGGAAAAAAGAAATTTATACATATTTCATTTGTTAGATGTGAAGGACCAATTTCTTCCATTTAGAGTGTGTGTGGGGTATATTTAAGAATTCAGAAGCGTATTTGACGATTGATACTACATTTTTTTTTTGGGTCCAAGACGATTGATACTACATTAACTGAACGTTCCACCTTCAGAATTTTTTTTTTATTCTATATGCAGGAAAGTTATTTTTTATTCCTTTTTTTTAAAAAAGAGTAACACATTATCTCAACCAATAAAATTTTTTTACCCATATACATAGGAATAAATCTCCCGGAGTTGAAATCGACGAAGTTCTAGAATTTTTAAAATATTTTTATCATGTAATTATTTCCTCATAAAATATAAAATTCTCTCTCTTGCTTAAAAAAAGATAAATTTTAGGAAATTTATAAATTCTCAACTTCATGAACTGATAGGATTAGTAGCAGTAGGAGTATTTATATGGTATCAATTTCGAAATTATTTGATGGTGTGAAGATAAATTTCTCATCTAGTTATCCAAGATCGATTAATTGATTATCTGAAAATTCCATAATTTTACAAAATACAAAATCCATGTTGCTTTAATTTTCACTTAATAATATGCAGCCATATGAATATACTAATTGTAAAGTACTTCCTCTTGTTTTAATTATAGGATCTCATTTATAGACTATAAATAATATCTTATAATTAGAACTGGATGTAGTATTATTTATATAGGATCTTCTAATTGGAAAATTGTCAAACGCATGAATATCTTATAATAGGCCCAACACTTTTATTCGTGGCCCAAAAAGAATTATAGTGGGCCCAGCCAGAACTAACAGCTCAAAACGATGGGATTTTCAAGCACTATCTTTTGTTTTGTGCACCTTAACAGGCACTTCCGTTGAATGTGGGGAAAATTACATACAAGTCTCACATAAAACAATTAATTCAAAAAAAGTCTTTCAAAATCCTTAAATATTTTCTAAGTCCCCGGAGACCTGTGTATAATAAATTGTGATTGTGATATTACCTACTTATCCTCATTAATTTACAACCTCAATGGTAGCTGTTGACAACCCGAGGAGAAACGGTTAACAACTTCAGCAGTGCCTCTGACAAGTCAACAGGGGCACTGTCGAGGTTGTTAACCGCTTCTCCTCGGGTTGTCAATAGCCATCGTTGAAATTGTAAATGAATTGCATTGAGCTCAAATTAATGGGAGTAAGTAGGTAATATCACAATTACAATTTATTACACATATATCTCTCAGGACTTGGGAAATATTTAGGGATTTTGAGGGATTTTTTCTGAATTAATTATCTTCTGTGAGACCTGTGTGTAATTTTTTCTTGAATAATTTATGTCATCCTTCCCATAAATCACCTCAAGATATCTGCACATTTTCCAAAACACCTCTCTCACGTCAGTGGACGCTATGATTCCTCCTTTCTTCACCACAAATCTCAGAAGCTCTTTCCTTTTCTCTTCAACCTTCTTTTTTATCTTCTTCTTCTTCACTCCCACTAATCAACCTCAACCCTACTGAGTTTACCAGTTTCCCTTGTTCTTTCTCCCTCTGCACACAAAAAACCACACACTTATCCAAATCTTATGTTATTCTTTCTACAACATTCACATGAAAACTGAGATTGATCGATTCATCTATCTCACCTGGTAGCCATTGACGTCGTTGAGGTATCTCCCATGGAGGCCAAGAACATCTAAAAGGTAATCGCATTCTGCACTTTCAGCCACGGCTCGTGGAAGCTTAGGTCCAATTAGATACATAGCTGACAAGACAATTGGTCCCAAGGCCATTGTTGTAATGCCATTACGCTCATATTCTTCTATGCTTGGCACACACTTGTTTCTGCGCCATTCTACTTCCTTCAACCCAGATCGTAGAATATCCACCCACTGAAAAAAAAAGAAAAAGAAATGTTGAAGTCGACAGAGGATTTTAGTTTATTGATGAGGAAATCAATGAAGAAAAATAGAGATAGGCAGACTACTTTCTTACCTGCTGAATTAAGTGGTTCAGGACAGTACGGTCTTGAACCTTCAATGCTTGGGCTGCAGTCTCACTAATTGTTCTCTTAAGCACTAAGAATAATATCTTCACCGGCTCAGAACAACGTTCTTTGTTGACATCTACATCCCACCTGCGTGTTTCATTAATTAATCGAAACACAATCTTATATATATACACTTATTAATGCTGAGGGAGAAATCTAGACGTATGTACTATATTACGCATACTTCTCCATTAACTTTATAAGGTTTAGTTGTTCCTCTTTAGTGCTCCAAACATCGAAGAAACTATCAAACACAGATTTGAGCAATCCATGCTTTGCCCAAGCTAAACGTGCTTCCCGAAGTTCTGGAGACGGAAGTGTTGCTGCCACTGATAAGAAGGAATACATAACTGTTGTTTTGGCAATTGGAAAATGTAGCTTATCCATTCCACTCGTCTTAAACCACCTGATTATTTTGATGTATGATACGTTGATCAGTGATTATTCTTGGATTACCAATTAATTAACAGTAGAAGGTTGGTTCCTTTTTAGGGGAGGAAACCAAACACACACAAATTCTAGTGGCCATGAAAAAGATACTCACCTGTTAAATAGCCCAAGTTCTTTCCGAAATATTACTTGGCAGCGATTGAAGTTTTCAATTCCTAGTTCCAACAATTCTTTGTTGGCGAGGTCTAAAGAACTGAAAAAGAAGAAGAAGAAGAAGAGCCATGGAGAATATGTACCAAGTAATAAATTAATCTATGTAAATCAACAAGCTCCCATGTGGATGGCATTGAGGAAAAATGGAGTAAGCTGTGATTATAAATATATATATATATTTATAGATTATAGATATATGATGTATCTATATGAAGATTTCAAAATTCTCTTTTGGTCCACCTTGTAATGTTCTAGGGATCTTCTGTTTAACATCAAATCCAAGTAAGCATGATGAGGGAAACGTAAAGCAAAAGGTACTTGAAATTAATAGCTTTTTTTTTTTTTTAAAATATGGAGTACATTATTGAGATGGATCAAACTTCAGAATTGCAGAAAAATTGAGAATCAAAATTAAATTTGGGACTACTAAGTGTATATATACCTCGAGATCAATATGATTAGAAGGTGGTCTATGAGCATTGTTTGAGGAAGTGGACAAATATTCCTTAAGAAAATGCCCTGTCCAGGTGTTTAATTCCTCCAAAACTGAATCATTTGAATCTAAAACTATCTGTGAAGCTTTATGTAACTCCAAAACAGACTCAACATCCTTCAAATAGCCTTGAAGAGTATTGCGAAATTTATCTTCTGCAAACCGATCAAGTGCATCTGAAATACACAAGTATCATAGTTAAGACTTTCTTTTTAATAATCCTCTATTAGCTACACAGAATTTGTCTTAATATAAAGACGCAAATTAAAACCTGAGAAAACATCATATCCATGCAAACGTAGTAAGCGAAATGCAAGGGCACAGGTGGTGGGTTCTAAAAATATATCATCTTCTTCCCGCTGCCACATCCTGTTTGAAAATCAAACAAATTTTTTTTTTGAAAAAAAGATTAATTAGATTATGTGGTCTTTGTTCTTCCCGCAACAAAAGCTATAGTTTCATTTTCAAGCTTTTTAAAATGGCGACTAATCCCAAGCTTTTCAAGAGTATCAACCATATGGAGTCGAGCATACACATGAATAGGATGTATTGTTGGAACTGAACGAACAAGTTTTGGTGTGAAACCCAAAGATTAACGTAATGGAAATGAAATCCATCAAAATAGTAATGTTTGAAAGAACAAACCAGCATTGTCAAATTTTGCCGGCAGTGAAAGTAGATAATCAAGACAGTGTGAATTGTTGATATGAGTGTATGCGGCTGCAGTGGCGGCTGGAGAGTTAAAAAGAGAGCCATTCTTTCTTTGAAATTTCAAAGCCATTTCCCAATTCTGTGAACTTCCCAAATCCTTCTAAAATGTATGCCATATAAGCCTTCCATCCTTCTGAATTGCTTCCCCATCCACTGTAGTTAATTTCCATATATACACAAAAGAGCTCAAGCTAATATCTTCCAAAATAATATGATATGAGTTTACTTATTTATGGCTTGTGAATGTTGTTACGAGGTTGGGGTAAATGATTATTATCTGTATGTGAACCAAGCATGAAGAACTCTGCTATGTGTTTTATGAAGATGGGGGGGGGGGGAGTAGTACCTTCGGAGCTCCAAGTCCCTCTTGGATGAATTTTTCTAAAATATTCCCTCCAAGAGGAAGTTTAGACCCAGACTTTGGGCTTGCTCAATTAAATGAGCAAAGATAATATCAAATCCAATTGAAGAAAGTTGTTTATCATCATCAGTTGCAGCAATGTTTGTTTCAATATATCCAAGTCCTTCAACAATAATAAAAGGGGAATCTCCCAATTATTTCATTATATATATATGCTTCTTGAAAATAACACCAATGAATTTAATTATAATAAGATTAAAAATCATATCAATTTACCTATATTGACTTGCTGTTCACCAACACCCCATTGCTTAGTGCAAGAACACAAGTCAAAGTAGATTAAAGAGAGTATTTGGTCAGCAAGTTATTATTACTAGAAAGACCCCATGATCCGTCAATGTGTTGATTTTCTAATAGCCAATTTAGGGTCTGAGGGAACAGAAGAGCTTGTGGAGAAGAAGGTGATGGAATCATTGCCACCCAAGCTGTGTCATAAGAAGAGACAGAGAGTTCAACCTTATCAAACATCTTCCTTATTCTCTCCTTATTATTCTCTTCTAATACCAGCATTTAAGACAACTCACAATCTTATTGTTATTTTTATAAAGAAAAATTAATTGGATATTGGAATTAGCTTAGATGTTCATAAATACAAGAGATGGAAGGTTGATATTTTACAATAATGTTAGTTCCGTTCCCAACTTTGTCCTTCATAATGGATCCAATAGGAGATGCTGGGAGATATGAGAATAGAGAAAGACGTTAGATTTTCTTAGAACTTGTTTGAAATATGAGATAAGTACGTGAGAAAAGTTTTATCTCGGCTTATGTGAAATGTACCCATAAGTAATTTCTAACGCTCTGCCAAAATCATATAATTACACACACACAATATGTACTGATGACTTGTTTAATTTGATATACTTTCTATATTAATACTAAAAGTTCACCCAATAAAAGTAATTTGATAATATTAATACTAAAAATGAGTTATAATTAGTGCCAGAAACCTCACTCCAAGAGATTAAAATGATTCAAAGTACTCTCAATTTATTTCAGATGAGCAAGATTAATAAAAAGTAAAGGGTCTTTGACCAAAATAATGTAAGTTATAAAATAAATAACGCATAAAAAAAATTTCATTTTCACTGATTTGATTTGAATAAAATAATAATCCAAGTTTTCATAAAAGCTAAAATATACATTTTAGTCTTCCAAAGTTTATATTAAATTTCAGTTCAATCCCTCGAGTTAACAAAACGTATTTTTAATCTCTTAATTCTAACACCGTTAATCCTATATATAATCTACAAAACATGCTTTAAATTTTATTCTCACTTTTTGTAACACCTACTATAGCAACTCCTTGACTTCTAAAAAGGAAAAGAAAAAAATCTGCCCAACATCACTTTTCTAGGTTATACATAACTCCTCTCCCATTGATGTTTAAGATTTAAAACATAAATAGCGAAGAAACTAATTATCTCAATGATCCAAATGCCAAACTCAATTATCCGCAGAGTGTGTGAGAGAGATATTGAGAGAGAGAGAGAGAGAGAGATGAAACGAGGAGAAGCCGAAGGAGGCAAGCGAAGGTGCGAGAGGGACATGGTGGTTCCAAGAAACATGATGAAAATTTTTCCTTTTCTTCTTCCTAATAACGCAAGCGTTTAATTTTCAGGTGCTCCCTTAAATATGTATATATAGGAGACAGTTCATAGTTCTTTTTCACTGCGTCTCTTTATATCATATGTATACACACACACACACACACACACGCATGCCGCCCAAGCTCTTTCGTAAAAAATAATAATAATAATAATATATTGGCTCCGGCCAAAAAAAAAAGTTATATATTGGCTGGCATTAGACTTGCCAAAGGTCCAACGGACGCAAACTTGTATTCTATTAATCACTGCCCCACCTTGTCCTATTTGGATCATTAAGATGCAACTTCTATTATATATTAGTAGTATTATGTTGTTTAAATATCTCTCATATTTTTCTGGTCCTATTTATAAGTTATAGAGATGAGTATTTTTTTTAATTTATAAATCACATCAATTTTTCTGTTTATTTATTATATATGGATTATTATTCTTAATATATATATTAAATAGACATTAAGTTAGAGAATTATTATAGCGAGTTGAAGAAGGAAAAGAAGGAAGAGAGTAGGTGGATTGGTAAAAAGCCATTGATGCAGGTGCTTCTTTGTTGTTAAAAAGCCATAGAAAATTATTAGAACTGTTTTTACTTTTTATCTTGCTTAACAATAATTTAATATATGGGTAAGTGTAATTAATACTTTTAAAAAATTGTCGTTGATCAGCAGTTATAAATAGTAATAACTAGTAGGAATACTGTGGTTTTTAAATTGAGACATCCTATTAAATAATAACGTTAAACAAAGGCTATTAACTAATTTATTAGAGATACTATAAGTTACTTATTTTTGCGAAGAGTTATAAAATTTAGTTAGAGTACCTTTCAAAAATAAGATCAGTGTCGTTGTCATCATTTTTAAATCTAAATTCTAAAATTTAGAAAACCAGCTGCGATATATACCAATTAATGTTCCTCGGATTTACCGGTCTTTTTTTTTAATTGTTTTTTGTTTTAATTTCTTTTTGCGTAAGCCTAACTTCAGTGGCTGGAATTCGGAGTTACCCATGGCGGCTAAATAATGTTGCTTGATGCAATCATTTTTGAGGTAGCTATAGTTTCCTTCAATTTTTAATTTTAATTACGTACCTATGAGTTTTTTTTCCTTCATATTAAGTTATTTAATTTTTCTTTGTTAGCACAATTAGTTTTTATGTATGGTCTAATAATACTGACAGAGCAGAGTTGTAGAGATTAATAATATTAAAAGAATAAAATTAAAAGATTTAATAAGGAGAAAAAAAAAGGAAGGACACAATGCATATTGAAATTGTCTCGTCAAAAACTGCATGAAGAAAATTCTAAGCGACAAAATATTTCTCAAGGAAAAGTTATCTCAAATTATATTAGGTCTATGCTTGTATTTCAAGTCCACATACTGATCTTCAAATTTCTTTTCTTTGTTTTTTTTTTTGGTATTGGACTTTAGAAAATTAGGTGCATATTATGTTTCAAAGTAGCCTGCGGTATGAGTGATATTTTTAACAAACAAGCAAAACAAAACTATTGGAAGTGAGTTCCCGGATAAAATTCCAGATCAAGCCGTCATATAAAGCTTTTTCATCACACACACACGCAGATATATATATATATATATATATATATCCTCTTTGAGTTTCATTGGTCTCATAGAAGTTGAATGATTTCTTACTATGATATTGTCACGACTCAGTCTTCCCACAACAAAATACACTGCCCATAGCTCAGTAATTTACCACTTGCAGGTAGTTTTGTGACAACATTGTAACTCACATTACACAATCTTAAACTGGAAAATTGAAGAATAATGTATGACTGTATTTAATACTATTCCTGATCTATAATATAAGAGTTAGTAAGGAGTTTGAATTCAGTCCTAAATATAAGTTATTTATCCAAACTAATCCTATTAATTACATATGTTAAGAGAGCTTGTATCAAAAGGAAATTTAATCTAGATTATTTAATAGGGTAACAAATTTTTAACAAATAGCTAATTTAATAACTTTTCTTAATCTATCTAAATTAGTTAAGTCAAGTAGATTTTATATTAAGAACTGAAAGTAGTATTAATCAACTTACAAGCAATAAATCACATCACTTGTCAGGATTTGTAGCCAAATAACACCAAGTACCTCTTTTAAGGCTTTATTATAAGCTAAGCGTGAGGTTATGGATTGCAAGGGTGTTTTAAAAACACAAAAAGAAAAAATGAAAAAAGACAAAAGAAAACAAGAAGTAACTTGTTTTGAACTATTCAAAAATAGAAGCATGTGAGATACTATTCTTTGAAAAAAAAAAATTGGAATTCCTCTGATTGTGACTTGGGTACGTAAAAATAATTAAGATTCAAAGTCTTTGACCCTTGTTGCATGTTTTTTGACGTATGATATCTGTTCCATATGTACTAATTTCTTTGCCTAAAAACAAAACTACGTACCTAGGTTTTTTGTTTAGCTGTTATTTGTGGGGGGGGGGGGGGGACAAATCAATATTCAAAACAGATGAGCGAGAGCGAGATTGCAGTTTTTCACAAACAAGCAAAGCAAGACTATTGGAAATGGGAGTGACACGCAGATTTTGTTATATCATAGTCTTCCCCTTTGGCAAGTCCAACAGCAGTCATAGTCTCTTTCTCACCGCTACAAAATATACTTATTACGTCCCTTTTTTAATCTGTTTCATAGCAAGGAGAATTAATGACGGGACTTATAAATGGGACAAAAATACTTAATTCTCTAACTTATAAATATTAGGACAAAGATAACAACTCTAATCCGAAGAAAGAGAAAACTGAAGATTGGGGGGGGGGGGAAGGAAGTTGTAGACCTAAGACATCTGAGACTCAAAAGAAGCATAAGCACATGCAAGGAAAAATTAACAATAAGTAACCCAAGGAAGTTTCCTATCAAATTGGTTTGAACTATTTTGATAGAAACACATACCTAGTATTTACTTGACTATCTAAGTTCTAATAATTTTCATATGTGTGTGTGTGTGTGTGTGTGTGTGTGTAGCTCCCTTAATTGTCGCATAAAAATGGAATTGAAATTTTATATATGCTTAAAAGTTAAAACTTAGGGATAATAACAAAAAAAAGCTAGAAATTACTAAATCTTAAATCAGGTTTGATAATAACACTTTATTTGGTATTGATAACATTGAATGGGCAAATGACAATAAATTTTTGTTGACATTCCTTATTTGAAATTTAGTAATTTTAAGCTTTTTTTTAATCATTTTCTCTAAAAATTATTCGGGAGATATTATCAGTGTATTTACGATCAATTTGAGATCAAATTAAATAGTATCCCCTATGGCCTGTGTCTTCTGTTACCTTCAAGATCAGTTCATCTAGTGCTATAACTCAATTACATTTAGCTATGAATTAAAAAGAAGGGGTGATACTTATCACTCGTTAGTTATTTGTATGGTTAATTTCTATAACTTATCATTGATTGTCTTTTCCAAACAAAAAAGAAAAGAAAAGAAGTTCTACTAGTTTATATTTCAAATAGTCTTCAAAGCCAACTATTTCATAGTGTTATTAATATCATGAATTATTTAATTACAAAAGAGAAAAGATAATGTCAAAAATATAAGACGACGTTAACATCAAAATATATATTATAACTAAGTGTAATCATAACTTGTTTATTTAAAAAAGGGAACGGACTATCATATATAAATTGGAAAATCAATTATGAAACCCATAAATATCTAAATTTGGTCTTTTTTTTAAAATTGATTATTTGACATTCGATTAAAAATTTTAAAAAGTTATTAATTGCTTAGTCTAGGTTCATTGAGACCAGCGATTCATGTAAGTAAAAGTTGGACATGGGTCCCATCATTCACCAACCTCCTAAAGAATTTTTCCCGGATAATTAATTAACACATGATATATTCATGACAATTTATAAGTGAAATATATAGGATTGTGAACATCGGGTACTGTCCCTTCTTCATTGTGATCACCGTAGATTTCAGAGGTATTTCATAGCCATCAATTTGACAAATCTCACTATTTTGTCTCGGAAGTAACAAAAAAACAGGTGGGTGTACCCTTAAAGTCTCTCGAATGACTGTCATTACATATTTCAATCGATGGAGTTTGACTCGTCCACGAATCCTTCATTTCCATAGACCCTTCTTCTTGTGCCTTCTTCGTTACTTCTGGTTTTCTAATCATTTCTGCCATTGCCCACTCTGTTGTTGCTGCTGCTGTTTCAGTTCCACCAATGAACATGTCCTGAAAATATATAGGTTCCACGATTAATTAAAATCTCTATTATTTATGTTATCTGCTTTGATGTCCTTGTCTGGCCAAAAAAAAAAAAAACATCAGCAAATAGCAAGTTAACATTTGGTAGTAGCAACCCCTCCCTCCAAAGAAAAAAACGCTGATTTCAATGCAGGTCAGATTTAGAGATTTTATAAGAACTTCTACTTCCTTTATATAATTTGAAAACATATGATTGACAAGTCATTTATAGATAGACAAGTAAAATCAAGTGCACATGGTACCATCAATATATACTTAAGCTTTATTTATATAATTCTTTATGAGGTAGAAAAGTAAAATAATCATTTTATGACCAAATTAAATTAAACTAGCTAGGAGTGAATTACCAGGATGACAGCTTTGATGTTGTCGAGAGTTAATGGGATTTCAAGGTCATTCTCTTTCTGAATCCTGAGAAGAACATCAACAAGATCCTCTGCTGCTCTTATATCGCCACCCTTCTTTTCTGTGTGGTCGTTGATGATATCATCACGCATCCTAGCAATGTCTTTACCTTTTCGGCCTTACCTTTTATCCCACTGATCACACGAAGGAATTTCAATAAAGGATATGTTGGTGGGAATGGTTCTCTGAAGAGTACAAGAAGAAGAGATCAAGAAAAAAGTGATGCATAATGTCTTCAAGGCGTGGGCAGCACTTTCTTTCAGGCTTAATTTGCCCCCACCTATTCTTATCTTATATAATGCAAGTTGGGATGCTGGCGAATTTCCTTGAGGATACAATGAAGACTCTTGAATATGGATTGCACTTTCAGGATTCAAGCGAAGACAACAATGACTTTTGCAAAGTGATAATTTGACTCTATCTCTGCGTGCACTCAAAGACAAAGGCAATGAGTTTAGTCTTTATGTTTATGTTGTGTTGTATGCAAATGAAGTGATGGTGAGGGGTTTATATAAGTCATAGAATAATGCCTGGAAGAGATACCTTTTGGAATAATACCTTATTAAATAAAAAGTCACAACCATATGTTGGCTCATGAACCAACATTATTTCAATAAATACAATGTACTAGTATTTAATATGTAGGATCTTTTAGTATTGTAATTTCCTACATAACCCTTCATATAAATATTTAATTTATATGAAGACACAACCCTTCAAATAAATTTATTAGTCTATATGAAGACATAACCCCTCATATAAATTTATTAATTTAATAAATTTATATAATGATATGAACTTTCAAAAACATATCTTTTCATTTTAAAAATATTCCAACAATCCCCCACAATTTTTAAAATAAACCTAAACTCTTATCACTTCGAAAATCTCATGTTTTCAATAAAGGTATCTCAAGGATTTGAACCTTTACCTAAGCAAGACGTGTTTTCACCCATTCAAAATAATATGGTAGACTAAGCTTTGAACCAATTATCTCACATGAATAGGTGTGCATGACTCACTAATGGGATCTCGGCCCACTATATGGCCACTTTAAAATGACATGTTTATGGCCTTGTTCCGTATCTTTTTCATAAAGAGTTTTTAGAGTCAAGCCCTTAGACTCTTAGAAGCGGTCCCACTTCACCCTCATATAGGTAGACACTGTCAAGAGCACCATGATTAATGCTCCAACAAATACATGCTTACAGGTCCATTAAGAGCCAAATTGAAGCTCAACCTTTCCTTTTTAAATCTCATGGTTACCAAGTACTTTTCAACCTTGGGATGTATAAACATGTCAAGTACTTACAATCACTCTAATAGCATACTTTCACCATTGAACTCAATACTTGATATGATAGTCAAGTGTGAGTTGGGTTTCCACTATCAGTGATCAAGGTTTATAGGGCTTCAATCCCATCCCCTATGATGCTTTCAACACCACTTCCCTTGCTAAACCTTTCGTCAAAGGATCTGTAAGGTTTAATTCAGATCTTATATAACTTATGGAGATTACTCAATTCATAATTAGATTCTTCACAGAACTATGTCTCAATCTAATATGTCATGATTTTCCATTATAAATTTGGCTATAAGCACTTAAAAGAGTAGACTGACTATCACAATAGATAGATATTGGTGCCATTGGCTTAGGCCATATAGGAATTCCAAGTAACAAGTTTCTAAGCCATTCCGCTTCCTTACTACTTGCAGCCAATGCTATAAACTCAGAATTTGTGGTAACCTCTGCAATGCATGTTTGTTTCTTAGATCCCTAAAAAACAACACCCCCACCTAAAGTGAAGACCCACCCACTTGTGGAAGCATGATCCGCTGAGTAACTTATCCAACTAACATCTGTATATCCTTGCAAAATTGAAAGATTATCATTATAGGTCAAACTATAGTTGACTGTTCCTTTCAAGTACCTTAGTACTCTGTCCACAGTATGCTAGTGATTCTGACTTGGATTGCTTGTGTATCTACTTAACCTTCCCACAACATATGCTATATTTGGTCTTATACACGTCATAGTATACATCAAGCATCCAATTACATTGAATAATCATGTTGTCTCACAGGACAACCTTTGTTTGGTACTAATTTCATACTAGAATCAAATGGAGTAGAAACAAGAAAAACAATCAAGACAATTAAACTTTTTTAATATTTTCTCAGTATAATGAGATTGTGAATGACCAAGACAATTATTATCCCTAATAATTTTGATTCCTAGTATGACATCTGCTTCTCTCATATCTTTCATTTCAAAATTTTTAGATAAGAATTTTTTTGTTTGATTTATTTCATTCAAATCAGTGCCAAAAATTAACATGCCATCTACATACAAACAAATCATGACACCTTTCCTATTATGAAACTTACTATAAACATATTTGTTGTAACATCCCGAATTTTTTGACTCAAGATGAGCAGAAAAGAGAAAATTCATTAAAATTATTTAATAGCCAAATAAAATTGGAAAAAATTATGGAATATTGATTTTCAAGGTTTAGAGATATTTTGGAAAATTTATTTCCCCAAAAATGACTTAAATAATTTTAATAGATAATTTTAAGAGGAAAATGGCTTATTTTCTCAGAAAATTATGGAAAAATGCTTAGAGATTTATATTTAATGTGAAAATTTTAGGATAACCAGTTGTGAAGGTAAAAAATTTATTTGAGGCATAAAATCCTTAAAACGTGTTAAGGATTAATTTCTAGAGTGAATGGCTATTTTCTTGAAAAATTCAAGAAAAATAATTAGGAATTAACTTTTGATCCAGAATTTTTAGAAAATCTATTATATGGGTCAAAAAAAGCTAATGGATAAGGAAAATCCATATAAGATATTTTGGTTTAATTTCTGGATATATTTTATATTTCAGAAAAATAGGAGAAGGATCAAATTTGAGGAATAAATATGATAGAGGATCAAATTTGAGGAATAAATATGATAGAGGGGCAAACTGGTCCAAGAATCTCCCAAACCTTACGCGTGTGCCTTGCCCTTTTAACCATTAGATCACTCATGCACCTCCTTCATTTCATTTCTGCTTTCTGTAGAGAATAGAGAGAGAGCGCGAGTGAGAGGGACCAGCGGTGCGTCACCGGCAAGAGACCGCAGGAGATCAAGAACCTGACATGCAATCACTGTTCTGAGCTTAGGTAAACCTCCTAATTACCCTTCCATCTTTATTTCTTTCGATCTGTGTTTAGATTTAGCTGTAATGGTTGAGTAAGAAAGTGTGGGTAGTGAGAGAAAGTGAAGAAAAGAGGAAGAGGACCGGTGAACTCTTATTCCACGACAAGACTAAAGTAGGTAGTGGTAGTTTTTGAGCTTGCATGTCCCTTTCTTTGCCTCCACATTCCTATTCGGTTTATGTGTGTGTGTCCGAATTCGGATGGTGATTTTTCAAGGTCAAATGCTTGACTGGTCCTCCGTGCTGTCAAGTTATGAAGCTAGTGAGAGGGAGTAGGTGTTTGTAGGTATGTATATGTAAGCATATATATACCTGAATGGTTGCTCTGTTTTTAAGTTTACCTTTCAAGAAGAGTTTGATAGTTAAATTGCTTGGATGGAAATTGAGTTTGTGCTCAATGGAGCCGAAACTGGAGGTACTGTGGGCTAAGCATGGATCGATCTCTATGGTTGATCTTAGGAATGATTTTTTTGTGGTTAAATTCACAAGTTGGGAAGATTATCACAGGGTACTAAGGGAGGGACCTTGGTTAATTGCTAACCATGAGTTGACTGTGAGGGAATGGAGAGCTAACTTCAATCCAATGACTGAAGTGTTGGAGGATATTTTGGTTTGGGTCCGTTTATCAGATTTGCCTTTTGAGTGTTATGAGGAAGAGGTGCTGCAGGTTATTGGGGATCAGATTGGTAAGACAGTGAAAGTAGACAACACCACATCCTTCCAATCTAGAGGCAAGTTTGCAAGGTTAGGAGTTCAAGTGGATTTGATGAAGCCTCTTCTGCCATATTTAATCATGGAAGGAAGGGAGTTTAAGGTTGAATATGAAGGGTTGCACTTATTATGCTTTCATTGCGGTAGGTATGGGCATATGGAAAGAGATTGCAAGGAAAAAGGAAAGGACATGTAGAAAAGAAGTGGGAAGGTAGAGGGAAATATGGAGGAAATAAGAGAACAGCGACTTTATGGGTCCTGGTTAGTGGTGCAGAAATAAAGGGGAGGTAGAAGGTTTGGGAGTGGAAATAAGGCTATGGAAGGTGAAAATAGAGCTAGAAGAGCAGCTGGTTCTTGTTTCAGCAGGTTAGAAGTTGAAGAAGTAAAGGGAGGTAATAAAGAAGGAGCTGTTCATGCATTGGTTCCAATTCATGAATACAGGAAAAAGACTAAAGGAGTGGATAATCGATCTTGGGAAGAAATTACAGATGAATGGAAGGATCAAACTGGTAATATGGAGGTAAGAAATGAGATAATTGAAGGTTTTAAGAGGAAGATTAAAGTACCGATGGATGGAAGAGTGGGTAGGGTAAAGAACATGGTGCACGAAATGGGGAACTACATTGAATGCCTAAAGGAAATTGAAGTGAATGTGTTGCACAATGAGGAACTGATAACAACAGGGAAAGGTGTAGTTAGTGGTATGTTTGGTGGGAAGCCCCCGGATACCATTTTGGAGGAAGTAGGTGGTTGTAAAGAGACAGAAATAGGGAATGAAGGAATGGAGAGTGGATTGATAAGGATTGACTGAGTTGCTATTGTTCTTTTTTTTAGGTTGTTTATGATGTCAGAAAACATGTTATGTTGGAATTGCTATGGAGCTAGTAGTAAGGAGGTGGAGAGGGAAGTGAGGATGATGATTCAGTTGAAGAGACCAGAGATTGTGGTTCTCATGGAAACTAGAGTTCCAGCAAGTAGAGCATATGTGTTTTTCAGGAAGCTTGGGTACAAGGATGTGGAGGCTATTGACGGTGTTGGCTTTGTTAGAGGTGTATGGGTAGCCTAGAATGGGGGATGAATTCAAATGGATTGTTTGGAAAAGAGAAGTTAGTACGGCCACTTTAAAGTCAGTTTTGACCATGAGGAGCATTGGGTAATCACTTTTGCCTATGTGGTACCTCGTGAAGGAGAGAAGAGAGAATTTTGGGAGAAGATGTGTAACTTTGCTAGCCTGAATAGTTAGCCTTGGATGATTATTGGAGATCTTAATGATATTAGAGGTGAAAGTGAAAAGAAAGGGGGTGCTCCTATTAATTTAGGGCGTTGTGGTCTCTGTGAAGAAAGAATCAATAATTGTGGATTGATGGATATTGGTTCTTGTCACAATGCTTACACTTGGAGGGTACCACTCATACCTGGCTACCAAAGAGTGTATGAAAGATTAGATAGAGGACTCTGCAATGAACTATGGAGATTGAAGTTTCCTAAAGCAAGCATTCATGTCTTAGCACGGCTAGGGAGTTCTTATCACCACCCTCTGCTATTATGTTTAGAAGAAGAAAGGAGGATAAGAGTACGGCCCTTTCGGTTTGAAGCGGCCTAGCTGTTGCATGATTCTTTTGAACATGAGGTAGTGAGAAGTTGGGAGGTGGGGGGAATGTGCAAGGGAATTTGAGGCAGCTGCAACATAATTTGAATAAATGGAATAGAGAAGTTTTTCTAAATATCCAAGCGAAGGAATGAAGGTTGCTAGTAAGGATAGATAGGGTGCAGAGAAGAATTAGTAGCGCCCCAAAGCCTTTGATTTTTTTTACTTAAACTTGAATGGCAATTACAAGAAGAATTAAGAGAAGTCCTGAAACAAGAAGAGGTGTTGTGGTTTCAAAAAGCTAGATGTGACTGGATTAATGATGGTGATCGTAATACTAAATATTACCATTTGAAGATTGTGACAAGACAGAGGAAGAATAGAATTTCAATGCTTAAGAATGAAGAAAGGGAGTGGATAGAGGAGCCTTTGGAATTGAAGAAGTTGGCTAGTGACTTCTGTAAATCCCTCTTTGAGGACGAGGCGAATGATGGAAGCAGGCTGGAGATTGGGGTCTCTTTCCCTGTAATTGATGACAGTAGATGGGCCCAGATGGAAGTTCTTGTCACTTTTGAGGAAGTTAAAAATGCCATTTTTTCAATTGGAGCTTATAAAGTCCCAAGAGATGATGGGTTCCTAGCGATCTTTTTTCTAGAAAGAGCGGCATATTGTAGGAAAGGAAGTGATGAACTTTGTTTTAGGAGGTATGGGAGGGGAAGACAGGGCTTAGTAGTGATAATAATACCCTGTTGACCTTAGTCCTAAAAGTTGATAGGCCTGAAAGTATTAGGCAACTAAGACCGATTGCTTTATGCAATGTTCTTTATAAGTGTATGTAACACCCCGAATTTTATGACTTAGGATGAGTAGAAAAGAGAAAAATTTATTAAAATTATTTATTTGCCAAATAAAAGGGGAAAATTATGAAATATTGATTTTTAGGGTTTAGAGACATTTTGGAAAAGGTATTTCCCCAAGAATGGCTTAAATAATTTTAATGGATAATTTTAAGAGAAAAATAGTTTATTTTCTCTGAAAATTATGGAAAATAGTTATGAGTTAATTTTTGACTCAAAATTTTTAGAGAAATTAGTTTATGGGTAAAAGAAGCTAATGGAAAGAAAGATCCATATAAAACATGGTGGAATAATTTCTGGGTTTATCCCATTATTTCAGAATTATAGTGGAAGGATGAAATTGAAAGAAAATAGAGTAAAAGGGCAAAATGGGCATTTTATTTCTACCCACGCTTACTTCACACGCATGCCACTTCCTTTACATCATCAGATCATTCTCACCATCTTCATTTCACTTCCGCGACGCTGAGAGAGCACGAGAGAGGAAGAGACCGAGAGCAACACGGAGGTGGGTGATCGGAGGAGGTGAAGTTACATGCAAGACTGATTTTCGGTTAAGGTAAGTCTGGTTATCACTCTCCTACCTTTCTTTTCTCCATTCTCTGCGTGATTGGAGAGTTGATGAAGGATGAAATTTTCGGCTATGAAGAAATGGGCCGAAACCAAATGAAATAATGATAGGAGCAAGTAGATTAAAGCTTGCATAAGTGAGTTTAAATGTTGCACGTTGATAAATCTGGTTGCATGTGGATTTCTTCCTCTGTTTTCCAAGACCGAAACAGGGGTTAAAGGTTCGGGAGAGTGGCGTTTTGTTTGGGTGCTGGCCGCTGGTTTAAAGTGAAGTTTTGCTGTTGAATGAATAAAAATTACTCTGTTTATGATTACCGAAACAAGGGTGAGGATTTAAGGAAATCCATATAAGTATGGAGATGCTACCGTATGTGGTTTGGTTCTGTCATATGATGATTTTCTTCTTTTGAAACTAAAGTTTGTTGATGGCCTTGGGGCCTTTGAATTCTGGAGAATGAAGTGTACATATGGATACATATGTGTATATATATATATATGGGTTTGAGTAAGGCTCACTCCTCTATCCTAGTTAACCGTGTTGTTGGAAGAATGTTAGTGGGATGTCTTGTTCTGCTTGTAGTTACCGAAAACAGGGACCGTAGTTGCTGCTATAATGCTGTCGGGTTTATGCGTCAACGAAGGATTGACAATATAAACATATATATGCTGGACTTTTACGGGTTAGCTTGTTGGTGCTCATAAACACTAAAACCGTAGGAGTTAACTAGTGATACTTTAAATGTGAAGTAATGGTTATAAACTAATAACAAGTGCAAAGTATTCAAGGATTGGATGGTTAGGCTTAAAATTTAGTGAGGTTGCTATTGAAGGGCAGGAAAATAATTTTAAGTTGGTTCTATACCCACATAGATATATAGATATATATGCCGTTTGAGGTGGATCTAGAAGGGTGATTAATCCTATTAAATATGTGAGAGTGAATCTGGAAAATTTCCAGATTTGTTGCTAAGTAATGTTTAAGGAATATAGTCAGTGAATAATAAAATAATGGATTGTTAAGTTGGAATTTGGTACTATGGGTTGCGAACTGAAGGCTTGAGCATGGGGTTTTGAATGGAGGACACGACGTTGTCCTTAAATTATAATAAATAAAAATAATATTTTTGACTAAGATGACTAGTTACTAAATAAAGTAACTATGTGGGTTGAGATAAGAAAGGAAGCCTTCTCAAGAGAATAGTTGAATAAGAAAAATAATCCAGGATGATCAACTGCTACGTAAGGGTAGAGATTAAAGAAGATTTGGGATTTAAAGAGTTATTTAATTTATGAGATACAGTTGGATCAAGTACTGATCTACCCTTACTAATATGATAGGTTTTTATATCTGCTCAAGCCCACCAAGAAGCAGAAAGAAAGGAGAATGGTAAGGTTTGGTTTGGAGGGAAGCAGACCAGGTAGTAGTTCTTTCCTCCCTTACACTTGTGTATGATTGCTGCATGTCTGTTTGTGCCATATTGCTTTTCTAAAGCATGAGAACATGTAATCCTTAATTCCTTGCATGGATTATTTAACCGTGATCACGTGCAGCTGATAGACATGGGGCAGTGATTGCCAATTATTTGCGCTTTATTTATTCAGCTTGTCTAACAGACATGGGGCAGTGATTGCCAATTATTTGCGCGGCAGTGATTGCCAAGTATTTGCGCATTATTTATTCAGCTTGTCTATCTGTCATTGCGCATAAATGCTTAATTGCATTAGCTTGCAAGGTTATGTTCCACTTTGGCTTGTTTTGCATGCTTTATGTGATCTGCATATGTGTTTGATGGAAACTACTACTACGGGGATTCTTCGGAATCTCACCCCCCAATTTATGATGAACAGTGAAGGCTAGTAGCTAGAAGGACAAGGAGGTTATTTAAGAAGAAGGTGGGCTGGTTGAAGAGCAGAGATACCTGTTATAATTTTGTAAATTGTATAGTAAAATATTTGGGCAAGTAACTTTACTTGCTTTATGGAAATATTATTTTGTATCCTCTAGAAGAAGGAGGTGAGCATTGCCAGGTGCACGTATATGCTGTCAACCAAGAGCGTTGCTTTATTTTTAATATAATATTATAAGATTGTATAGTATGAAATTATTTTAGATGATAATAGATTAAGTTGAAAGCAGGGTTGATATTGGATCACTCATCAGTTATCTGAAGGTTTGAATAT